GAATGGTTTGCCTCAAAACAAGAAAAGTTCAATTGGGACGGTATCCACAAATTACCTGAAAGATGGAGGAAATGTGTAGCTAGCAATGGACTTTACTTTGGATAAAGCACTTTTGATGTTTCTCTTGAAATTACCATGTTTTCTTTGATTACAAAATCGGCATTATTAATTGGTACACCTTTTATTCTGCACAGTGAGAAAACCTGAAGTCATTTTCAAGGTCCACCATTTTTTACTTCTTTTCAGTTGCGTCATGTTTCTAAGCTTTCTAAATCTCTGTTTTCCGGCTAATGAAAAGAAAATAGGATTCCACCGAGTGTCCTATCTACCTACTCCAGGACTTCTGTGAGGATCAAATGAGATGAGGCACGGGGAAATGCTTCACAGACATTTGTGTGTAAAATGTTTCCACCTGGCTATAAAGCAAGTTGGGTTCCTGGGTTGAAGAAACTTCAAGGAGGCTAGTCGCTAGGGAGAGGAAGCCAGGTGTTGCTACATGACGTCATTATCCAGTGCCCAAAGCCACTGTTTCCAGGCTGGGCTGGGCTGTGGGCCGCATTTTGTGTCATAGGGTCTTGGCAGTGTTGGCTGCGATTTGGTGGGCTGTTGCTCCGGGCTTGTGTCCCACTTGGGGGAAGCCGAGTGTTGTGGGTGCCAGGTCCACGGTGCCATTTCTCTGTAAATGGCTAATGTGCGTCATGGCAGCTCCTGCATTGAGTGTCTGCCCCCTGGTGGTCAGTGCACATCATAGCGACTGGTCAGACGGTTGAACACTTAGCATATTACCTTTTATATATATAGATTATGTATAACATGATATTGTAAAAATTAAGTTATGAAATTTTTATTAAAACGTTTCTTACATACCGTTATATTGGTTGGGCCACAGAAATATTTGTTGGGAGCGCATGCGGCCGATGGGCTGTGAGTTTGACCTGCTTGTTCTAGACCAGCGGTTCTCAACCTGTGGGTCACAACCATCAGAAAACACATATAGCATATCAGATATTTACATTACGATTCATAACAGTAGCAAAATTACAGTTATGAAGTAGCAACGAAAATAATTTTATGGTTGGGGGTCACCACAACATGAGGAACTGTATTAAAGGGTCGCGGCATTAGGAAGGTTGAGAACCACTGAGATGTTAGGGAGAATAGACGCATTGTATGGTATTCAGCATCTTGACTTTTCTCTACAGAAAATTTAACCTAGTTTATTGAAGAATATTTTCTGTGGCCACAAATTTCTTGGTTTATAACGAAATCTTATTAGGAACTTGGAATATAGTTAGATTTGGTGAAATAAACTTAATGGTTTAGATCAGCGGTCACCAACCGGTAGTCCGTGGACCACTGGTGGTCCGCGAGGTGTGAAAGGTTGATGACCGCTGGTTTAGATGAGTGAGTTCTTTACTGTTTAGATAGGAAATTGGTTGTCTCTTAACTTCTGGCGTGGCTGGCGGACACCCAGTGCATGTGCTGTCCCCATTCTCTCCTGTCCTCAGGCTGAGCATCCACATCCCTCTTCATGCTGACCCCATAGGGGCCTCCGAATTGGGATTAGTGACGCTCCAGAAAGTCATTACGAACTAGTCCAACGTGATGTGACATGAAACCTGTTTTTAAATCCCTGATGTAATATTGAGTTCACAAGATAAAAATTACATGGACAACAGCACAAATTAGAAACCAGCTTTGAATTGGTTGTCATTCACACTGCTGGAGTTTATCAATAATTAGAGGCCTGGTGCACAAAATTCTGCACTGGGGGGGAGCAGTTTTTTCTCAGCCCGGCCTGCACCCTCTTGCAGTCCGGGACCCCTCGCTTCTTACCGCCTGCCTGTAGTGGAGGCAGGAGAGGCTCCCGCCACCACCGCTGTGCTCACCAGCCATGAGCCCGGCTTCTGGCTGAGTGGTGCTCCACGGTGGGCACGCACTGACCACCAGGGGGCAGCTCCTGCATTGAACATCTGCCCCATGGTAGTCAGTGTGCATCATAGCGACTGGTTTTTCTGCCGTTCGGTCGATTTGCATATTGGGGTTTGATTATATAGGACTAGAGACCTGGTGCACGAAATTCGTGCATGGGGGGGTGTCCCTCAGCCTGGCCTGTGCCCTCTCACAATCTGGGACCCCTCAGGTAGGGTCCCGAGGCCTGGCTGGCGATCAAGGCCTATCGGGGCTTTCCTTCCCCCAGGTGCCTGCAGCTGGCCCTGGCCCCGCTGCTGCCACTGCTTGCCATCTGTGTGGCGCTGCCTCCCCCCCACCTGCCACTGGTTGCCTCCCTCTGCAGGCGACAGGCATGGGGTGCAATTGCTTGGCTGGCCTGGGCCTCCCTCTGTGGGGCGATCGATTGTGGGGCCCCCAGATTGATTGTCCTGCAGAGGAGGCCCCGCCCACCTGCTGCAGCGTCGCCAGCCGGGTGGCCTGGGTCTCTCTCTGTGGCTGCCAGCTGGGTGGCCTGAGCCTCCCTCTTTGGGGCAATTGATCACGGAGCCCCCGCATCGATCGCCCTGCAGAGAGTGGCCTGGACTTGCCTCTGCGGGGTGATCGTGGGGCAATGGCGGGGGCCTCCCCGACTAATCGCATCGCACCCACCTTGGCTGGCCTGGTGCCAGTGTGTGTCATAGCATGGTTGTCTGGAAGGTTGTCCGGAAGGTCGTCGGATGGTCATTCTGCTGTTTGGTCATTTGGTCAATTGGCATATTATGCTTTTATTATTATAGATAGTAATTGGTGATAATATCCTATCGAATAATAGATAAACATGGTAATTGACCGTACCTTTGCTACACCTCCCATTGGCTAATCAGCGCGCCATGCAAATTAACTGCCAACAAAGATGGCGGCTAATTTGCATACTGCAGGCAGGGCGGGACAGCGCAGCCGCCAGCGCGAGAGCTGCCATCCAGGCCCCCGTGTGTGACCCCAGAAGCCACCATCCCCGGCCGCAGGCTGGCCCCGGAAGCCTCCCAGAAGCCAGTGATCGGGGCGAGATGGGGGTCGATGCCTCTGGCTGAGGCGTCAGGCCTGGGCGAAGGCAGAGCCGGCAATTGGAGGGGCCTGGGGGTCCCCTGCCCAGGCCTGACGCCTGGGCCAGAGGCATCAGGTGTGGGTGGGGGGTAGAGCCGGTGATTGGGGGGAGATGGGGGTCCCCTGCCCAGGCCTGAAGCCTGGGCCAGAGGCGTCAGGCCTGGGCGGGGGGCAGAGCCGGCAATTGGAGGGGTCTGGGGGTCCTCTGCCCAGGCCTGACGCCTCTCGCCCAGGGGGCCGAGCCGGCGATCAGAGGGAGATGGGGGTCAGGCCTGGGCCGGGTCGGGAGGGGGGCGGGCAAGCCGGTGATTGGTGTGAACTACAGAGGAAACACCTTTTCTGACCGCTCATTGGCTAAGCTCCCTGTATGCCACTGGTAATATTCTTAGTAACTTGGGTAATAAGAATCCAAAAAGGTGATCTAGGATTTTTCACCACACTCCTGGCGAAAAAAACAAAGGTCTGCTCCTGGAGGGCTAAGAAATGTCATATCCTGCCCTAGCCAGTTTGGCTCAGTGGATAATGCCTTGGCCTGCCGATGGCAGGGTCTGGGTTCAATTCTGACCCAGGGCATGTACCTAGGTTGCAGGCTCCTCCCTGGCCAGGGCCCAGGTCAGGGCTCATGCAGGAGGCAACCAATCAAAGTGTTCCTCTCACTTTGATGTTTCTCTCTGTCTTTCCCTTTCTCCTTCACATTCTCTAAAAATCAATGGAAACATATCCTCAGGTGAGGATAAAAAAAAATAATAAAGAAATTATTATTATATGAAAGACACATCTTGAAAATGCCTAAAGAAAGTTGTCATTTTTTCTTGGTGAAGAGACTGGAGTCCGTGTTGATGAAAAAACCTTGCTGGCTGCGGTGACTGGCAGTGGCTGCAGCAGCGGGGTGATGGGGCTGGTGCCTTCCCCTGATCAGCCCGGTCACCTCCCACAAAGGGAGGCCAGACTGCGTCTTAGGCCTGCTCCCCAAGGGGAGCAGGGAGCGGGCCTAAGCCTTCACTAGGACATCCTCTGAGGGCTCCCAGTATGTGAGAGGGGGCAGGCTGGGCTGAGGGCACAAATGAACTTGCGAGAGAGGAATGGGGACCAGCCAGGCACAAATGAGCTCACGAGAGAGGGATGGGGACCAGCCAGGCTGCGGCCCGGGAGAGGGACAAGCTGCCCACCCCGTGGTCCTGGGTGCCAGCGGCTGGGGCTGCAGCCTGGGAGAGGGACAAGCCACACGCCCTGTGGTCCTGGGCGCCAGCGGCTGCAGCCTGGGTGAAGCTGCCTGCCCATGGTCCCTTGCGGCTGCGGCCGGCCCGGGTGAAGTCGACCCAGGTCCTGGGTGCCTGCGGCCGGCCAGAGGGAGGGAAGCCTGGGTCCTGGGTGCCTGCGACCTGTTGGAGGAGGGAATCCTGGGTCCCAGGTGCGGAGCGAGGCAGAGGCGGTTAGGGGTGATCAGGCCAGCAGGGGAGCAGTTAGGGGCGATCAGGCTGGTAGGGGAGCAGTTAGGGGTGATCAGGTAGGCAGGCATAGGTGGTTAGGGGTGATCAGGCAGGCAGAGGGGTTAGGGGCAATCAGGCAGGCAGGCAGAGGGGTTAGGGGCGATCAGGCCAGCAGGGGAGCAGTTAGGGGTGATCAGGCCAGCAGGCAGAGGTGGTTAGGGGCGATCAGGCAGGCAGGTAGAGGGGTTAGGGGCGATCAGGCAGGCAGGCAGGCGAGCGGTTAGGAGCCAGTGGTCCCGGATTGCAAGAGGCAGTCGGACATCCCCTGAGGGGTCCTGGATTGGAGAGGGTGCAGTGCAGGCTGAGGGACCCCCCCCACCCGCATATGAATTTCATGCACTGGGCCTCTAGTTACCAATAATAATAATGCCAGCTCCATCAGCCTAAGCCTGAGAGATCTGGCATAGGGATACAGTGGTTATCCATGGGTCAGAACATGGAATTGACAGTTCATCTCTGTTCTTTTCTTCTAAGATTCTGCTTTGTTTGCTGAACTTGGCTATTTCACAGACACCGAGGACCTGCACTTGGGTGTAGCAAATGAAGCTCCGGTAAGTACCCACGAGAGGAGAAGCAGTGAAGGGTGTGAGATTTCAGTTCTTCCCTAATTATTGCAAGAAGGTTTCAGGATAACAGGTTTAGACTAGTTAAGTTTAAATAGCACTAAGTATGATAGTAGCCATTTTGTAGTCAGTATATATAGGGTTGTAGAAATTACATTGGTCTTGGTGTGAGAAGACTTGTATTCTAATTCCACATTTGGCTCAGGGGTGGGTGACCTTAGAAAAGTCCCTTCGCTGCCTGCTTCTTGGTTTCTATAGGTAACTTGATGCACCAGGGAGATGGTGATGGAGCCACAGACCCAGTCAATAGAACTTACTTTTTGAAGGTTATGTATCTGTAGTGTAGAATGCTCGGACACCTGGCTGTGTCCTTACTTTTTGCCTTTGAGTGGGTGGAAATCTATGTAAAAGCTATTGTAGTACTTTGAGTCCTCAAAAATACCTTAGATTTTCTTTCCTGGATTTGAACATTTGTGTTAGCACGCTGGCCGAGAGAACTTTTGTCTTTAGTGGATGTGGTGCTGTTTCAGTTGGGAAGTAATTCACATGAACAGAGTGGTTTTATGTACACATCAATTGGGTTGGATATTTATCACTTATTTTTTAAGCCCTTATTAACCTGAGTATAAAAACATGTATTGCTTGCTCAGTGGGTTTCTCAGACATTTCTCAAAGAACTAGAGGCCCGGTGCACGAATTCGTGCACTGGTGGGGTCCAGTGGGTCCGCCCCAATGGGGGTTGATTGGGGGCAGGGCTGGCCGGGGCGAGGGCCGTGGTTGTTCCTGTTGTTCCAGTTGTTCTGCCATTCAGTCACTGGGCTTTTAATGTATAGGATTAGTCAGCTCAGACAGCCATAACAAAACATCATAAAATTGTGTGGCTTAAACAACAGAAATGTATTTTTCTCACAGTTCGGGAGGCTGGATTTGGGGTCAGGGTACCAGCATAGCATCGTCCCATACACCAGAAAGTGGTGGATTGATTGCCAGTCAGGGCACATGCCCAGGTTGCAGACTCAATACCCAGTCCAGTGAGTGTAGGAAACAACAGAACAATGTTTCTCTCTCCCTTCTTCTCTCTGAGATCAATTAAAATGAATGATAAATAAATAATGTTCTATAAGTATGGTTTTAACAGGAAAGACATTAATGATCTATGAAGTGAAAAACTCGTTATAACACATATATACAGCATGACCCCATTTAAAAAAATATTTATTGATTTTAGAGGAAGGGAGAGGGAGAGATAGATAGAAACATCAGTGATGAGAAAGAATCATTGATTAGCTGCCTCCCCCCCACCCCCCGCGCCCAAGGATTGAGCCCGAAACTTGACTCAGAATCATATTGTGACCTCCTGGTTCATAGATCAATGCTCAACCACTGAGCCCCACCAGCCGGGCCCCATTTTTATCAATACCAGGCACATGAGGTACATTAGCAAGATCTCACTCCTAGACGAAAGTCTGAAATTGCCCAAATTCCTTTGCAGCTAGGTGTCTGGATATGAATTCGTTTCTGCCGAATGGATGGGCTTACACAATATTTTGAAGGCAGAAGTGGGGCAGAGGCATCTTCCCGCAGTTTGCTGCTGTGATCATGTTTGCAGAGATGTGGAGGTTTTCTGCAGCGGAATCCAGGCTGTGCACAGGCAGTTGTGGCAGAGGCAGTGCCAGTGACCTGTTTTGTGGGAGCTGGAGGGCACTTGTGGGGGCAGCAGTTTCCTGATCCCTGGGTCACAGCTGTGCCAGAGTGTCCTAGAATTCAGTTGTGGCTGAAGGGGCAGATCCTCCCGCTGGCCAGGGAGTCTTCCCTGGGGGGCCAGCCTAATACCCACTCCTCCAGCTTTCCGATGATTTCCCAAGCACCAGTCCCCTGTGCTAAATTCTTTCCTGCCTAAAATAGCAAAGATCTAAAAACATTTTGGATCCTCTACTTTCAATGAAAACAATGCTGCATAGGGTCAGGTCTGAGAAGTGGGTGAGGTGTTGCGGAAGGCTCCCTTCTTTGAGTCTCAGCTTCCTCTTCTGTAGAACGGAGACCAAAGATTATCTGTTCATAGTTACTGAAGACCATGGCAGCTGTGTTTCCTGAAGATGGCCACAACATTTCCCATCCCTCCTGTGGCCTTGCCACTTTCCACCACGTCCTCTCTCTTGAAGTGGGGCTGACCACTGACGCACTGGTAGGCAGTACACTGGTTGCCCACAGAATTCCAAGGCCAAGGCCCAAAAGGCGTGGGGGCTGCAGCCTTGCCCACTCTGCCAGGGTTTCCAGCTCCGGCCTTGCCCACACCGCTCGGGGCTCTGGCTGGTGCGGGGCCTTGCCCTCCTGGCTCACTTCCCCTCTGGTTGGCGGTTGGCGGCCCAGTGCTTTGCTGCACACCATGGCCCCCCTGCTGGTGCTGCTGGGCCCAGCAGGGCGGGTAAGAGCCCAGGTTGGGCCTTGCACCTCCTGGCTCCTGTGTGCTGCTGCGCCCTGCACCCTGCGGCCCCTATTCTTGCCGCTGCTCCGACCGGACGCCTGGGTGCTGTGCGTGGCCCACAGGGACTGCTGTGGCCACCAGGAAAGCCTCCCCACCCCATCCCTGACTCTGGCACCCTGATCCCGGGTGCCCTGATCCCAGGGAGGCAGCGGCTGCGCCTGCGCCTGCACCTGTAGCCTGGCCCGGGAGAGGGACAAGCCGCCCGCCCACCAAAGGAAAGCTTTGCCCGCACAGCTGCCCAAGACTGAGCACCGCCAAGGTCCCCGGACTCCAAATTTCTGCCAGCCAAGGTGGTTGGCTGGCTGGCCCCGCCCTGACCAAGGTGTGGGGGGTGATCCGGCCCGGATCAGGCTGGTTGGCTGCCGCATTGCGTGTCATAGCCACTGGTCGTTCTGGCCGTCCTGGTCATTCGCTGCAATGGTCGCTGGGTTTTTGTATATATAGGTAGTTTAGCAGTTTTACTATGAAGAAGAGAGTAAAAACACTTGATATATTTTATAATCTGCATGGGATTTTAATGGTTTATATTACTTTTGTGAGACACTTAGAATGTGGTCTGTTGATTAAATTAACTTAATATTGGCTGGTTGCCTAAGCAACTGATATTCTTTTACAACCTCTGCTGCCTAAAACTATCAAGAAACAGTATACTAAATTGGAAAGATCCAGAGAAATATGGTCCTGACTTTATAATTCACATTCCTACCTCACACAAGTCCTTCAGTTCCTTAGCTTTTCGAGTATTACATGGAGGATTGGAGTGATGGCTTCTGAGGGCCCTTTCTAGCTGTAAATTGTGTCTCGACGCTCAGCCACTGAGCCACACCGGCCAGGCTGTGCCATCTTCTTGCACATGGTAGTGGGGTTTCACAGGGGAAGCCATCACAGAGCCAGAGGACATAAGTGCCAATACGTAACCCTGTATGTAAAATGTGCTGTTAAGTTTCCAACCAGATACTGTCCTTATGCTGTGAAAGGACAGCCTTTTGGCTGGAGACAGAGAGTCTGAGGCAGGGCCTGCATGTCAGCGAGCGCTGTCTCGGCTCAGGCCAGCCTCGCTGCTCGGGTGGCAGGCTCGGGAAGTGTGGGGAGCTTTGGTGCTACAAGTACAGGGCTGCCTAATTTTTTGATGTGTGGATTCAAATAAGAGAAAAAAGCAAAGGAGGTTGATTTAAAAAGTGGTTCTTTCATGACCTAAGTAGTGTTTTCTTCTCATGTGAACTTGTACAGTATTTACTCACTGATAGGCAGTGTGATAAGAGAGCAGTTTTCCTTCTCCCTCTGTTACATTCTCAGTAAAAATAAACCACATGGGAGACATTTTGAAATGTTATTCTAGAAATTATTCCCAAACTAGAGGGCTGGTGCACGAGATTTGTACACTGGGGGGAGGGGGAGCCCCTCAGCCCGGCCTGCGCCCTTTCACAGTCCGGGACCCCTGGGGATGTCTGCCTACCATCTTAGAGGGATTGGGCCTAAGCTGGCAGTCAGACATCCCTCTCGCAGTCCAGGGCTCTCACAGTTCAGGACCCCACTCCTTACCACCTGCCTGCAGTGGAGGCGGGAGAGGCTCTCGCCAACGCCGCTGTGCTTACCAGCTGTGAGCCCGGCTTCTGGCTGAGCAGCACTCCCCCTGTGGGAGTGCACTGACGGCCAGGGGGCAGCTCCTGCATTGAGCGCCTACCCCCTGGTGGTCAGTGCGCATCATAGCAACCGGTCGTTCTGCCGTTCGGTTGATTTGCATATTACACTTTTATTATATAGGATGATTGATGCCCTAGCTTTTTGGCTCAGTGGATAGAGTGTTGGCCTGTGGACTAAAGGGTTCTGGGTTCGATTCCTGGTCAGGGCACATGCCCAGGTTTGTGGGCTTGATCCCCAGTAGGGGGTGTGCAGGAGGCAGGTGATCAATGATTCTCTCTCATCATTGATGTTTCTCTTCCTTCCTCTCTGAAATCAATCAATCAATCAACAAATGATTGTTAATAATTACTAGGTTAATCTTTATTTTTTGCTTGAGGCTTACTTTCTCTCTAATTGCTGTTTTATTGTCTGTCACACTGAGTTACTATTGACGGCCTTTTGACCTGATTGCACTGTTTGTGTATTAATTTCACTCTGTTCTTGCCTCCTCGCCCCAGACACTGTAAATAGCAGTGGCACTACTTTGGCCTCCAGCTCACAGGAGGGCTCTGAAATCATGGGGCAGACCCATTCCTATATGTGGTCTGGGTGGGGATCCAGATGGCCCGAGTGTGCTCATCTGTAAGGAAACATTATAATCTGAATGAAAAGAGACTGAGAGTCCCTTTCAGAGGTTTGTGACCCTGACCGAAAAACTAGGTTCTACCTTCTAGGGTTAAAAAAATTTAGAAATTTGAAAAGTGCAGGGCAGTCCAAAAAAGAAGAAAGTGGCCTGTCCTCCTGTGGGCCCTTCCTTCTTGCATCACCACTTTATTTTGGTAAATTTGAAGGTTCAGGCAGAGCCCTATGATTCCTGCTGGTCTTTCGCATGTCTGTGTTCTTTCACTGTGTATAGAGATGGTGTTGTAGGTAGGCGTTGGCTTTTAGTCGTTTTCCTTAATGGCAACAGGAAAACTTATTTTATTTTGCTGAATCTCTCTTATGACAGAGACATATTTTGTGACTCTTGTAATGGTCTGTTCCCACTAAAAAGAATGGGGCCTGGGGGTCTTCCCCAGCTGTTACTGCTGTGCTTCGGTAACTGCATTGGTTTCTCTGGTCTCTCCATGGTGAGGGTTCAAGGTGAACCAATCAACAGAAAATTATTTTTACTAAGTTTGGTGATAGCAGTGATTTTACTTATGGCAAATTGCAGCGATAGTTTGATTTCTAGATGTATATGTTTTATTTTTCTAATATCTTTTGCTAATATCTTTTGAAACTTACAGGAAAACAGTTTTGATAACCTTGATTTTGATTTGGATTTGATGGCGTGGGAGACAGGCATTTGGGACATCAACAACCAGTTCTGCACAGGTAATGATGTATATCATTGGTAAAAACTTCAAATGGATTCATTTTATTTTGTAGTTTGGTAATAGTCAAAATGAGGTGGGGATATTGGGCTACCTTGGTGGGTTAAAAAATTCCAGGGACTGTGTATCCTACTCCTTGTATGGCTGTGCATACATAAAATTCTTGCTATTAACGTAGATCATAATTTCATAGTTACGTTTCAGTCACATACACAAGTAAAGAATTCATATCAGAAATACTGATTTTGACATATATAATCCTATATAATAAAAGGCTAATATGCAAATTGTCCCCTTGGGAGTTTGACCGCTTGCTATGACATGCACTGACCACTAGGGGGCAGCACAGAATAAAGGAAGACCCTGGCTGGCAGCCAGGGGAAGGAAGGCCCCGATCAGCCCTGATTGCTGGCCCGGCCTAGGGACCCTACCTGTGCATGAATTTCATGCACCAGGCCTCTAGTATCTCTGTAAGAGATTAACCTGAGAACCAGACAGACTTAGGGAGTCAAAGGAAAAATCTTGGGGTTACCAGAACTTAGGAACTTGGTGTAGGGCCCATGTGTGTGGCTATGTACTCTGAGGAGAGGCACTCCCTGGCTGGGGAGGGGAGCTCGGGTGTGCAGGCAGGAGCTGGGGCCTGTGGCACGCTGTCACTTCAGTGAAGCTGATCAAGGATGAAAAGCCCTTTTCCCCTTCTGCCTGTCAGAACCCTTCTAGGGTCCCCACTGACAGCCCTAACGGAAGCCAGCTGGGCCTGCATGAGTGATTTGCATCACAGACCACAGGAGGTAGACTTGGAGCTGGAGACAGAGGGTAGATAAGCAGCAGGTCCCCATGTAGACTGGAGTCCTCCCCTCCCCACACCTCCCTGTCCCTTCATTTTGCGTATTTGTGTATCTTGCTCAATGCCTGTCTTCCCTCAGAGCACGTGGGCTGCACAAAGCCAGTGTTCTGGTCATTATTATGTAATAAATGACCCTAAGATGTAGTGGCTTAAAACCACAGCTTTCAAACCCGGGGGTCAGGAGTTTGGACAGGCGCACCAGGAAGGGCTTGTCTCAGCTCCATGGTGCGCAGGCCTCAGCGGGAAGATTTGAAGGCCGGGGCAGCTTGACATCTCAGGGCTAGAAGTCTCTTAAGGTTTCTTCACTCACTTGTCGGAGACCTCGTCTTGGAGATGAGGACTGCCCACTAGAGTGCCTACTCGTGGCCTTTCTCTGTGGCTTGCCTTCCTCACACATGCTATCTCATGGTCGCCTGACTTCAGAGGCTCAAGTGGGAGTGCCTGGCACACGAACAGGAATTCACACACACTATTGCTTAAGGAGCCCTGAGCCCACCTCGGTTCAGACGGAGGGAGCACGCTCACTGCGAGGTGGGGAGGCGGCAGGGTTTGCGTCCGAGTATAGGTGGACTGCTTTCTCATCTCAGAGTTTCACTTGATAATAAACTTTGGTGGCCTTAGCTTCCCCAGGTTTGAATTTTAAGAGTAAACTTTACCTTCCTTCTTGTTGACTTTAATGAGTTTTTACTTTGTGTTTTTCAGTTAAAGATATTAAGGCAGAACCTCAGCCGCTTTCTCCGGCCTCCTCCAGCGGCTCAGTGTCATCTCCGCAGTCAGTGGACTCCTGGTCTTCAACTCAGCATGTTCCCGTGAGTAGCAGTCTCTTGGCTGTAGTGCTGCCTGGACAGTGGTGTACAGGGAGGCAGTTAACACTTCATAAGTGCGCTCCTCATCTCTTCTGATCCTGAGGAATCTGAGTCTTGACGAAGGGCCTTGGGATCCTAAAAGCTGAGTTTCCCTGGTTTTGCCCTGATTCATTTGTTCATTGCACTTTCCCAGGGTTCAGGATTTTTCATTTATTGTTTACTATCTTTCCCCCCTGCCACCTTCTCTCCTGGTTGGAACAGATATTCTTTGAAGACACAAAAGACTGAGATGGTTGCTTTATTTTTTTATTTTTTTTAATTTAAAAACTAGAGGCCTGGTGCACATGGGGGAGGGTGTGTCCCTGAGCCCAGCCTGCAACCTCTCCAATCTGGGATCCCTCTCACAATCCAGGACTGCTGGCTCCCAACTGCTCACCTGCCTGCCTGCCTGATTGTCCCTAACTGCTTCTGCCTGCCGGCCTGATCACCCCCTAACCACTCCCCTGCCAGCCTGATAGACGCCTAACTGCTCTCCTGCTGGCCTGGTCACCCCTAACTGCCCTCCCCTGCAGGCCTGGTCACCCCTAACTGCCCTCCCCTGCCAGCCCGGTCCCCCCCAACTGCCCTCCTCTGCAGGCCTGGTCCCCCCCCAACTGCCCTCCCCTGTAGGCCTGGTCGCTCCCAACTGCCCTCCCCTGCCGGACCAGTCACCCCTAACTGCCCTCCCCTGTAGGCCTGGTTCCCCCCAACTGTCCTCTCCTGCTGGCCTGATCACCCACAACTGCCCTCCCCTGTTGGCCATCTTGTGCCGGCCATCTTGTGATCACATGGGGGCGGCCATCATGTGTGTTGGAGTGATGGTCAATTTGCATATTACCTCTTTATTATTTAGGATATATTTTTATTGATTTCCAAGAGGAAGGGAGAGGGAGAGAAAGAAACATCAACGATGAGAGAGAATCATTGATTCACTGCCTCCTGCATGCTCCCTACTGGGGATCGAGCCCACAAACCAGGCATGTGCCCTTGACTGGAATCAAACCCGGGACCCTTCAGTCCACAGGCCGAGGCTCTATCCACTGAGCCAAACCGGCCAGGGCAAGATGGTTGCTTTTGTAACTCTTCAGCCGTGAACCTGGAATGAATGGTCTTCTTAGTTTAGCAATGCCTAGCCCGCCTTTGAAATGGCCAAGGTTTTTTTCTTTAATCCTGGGGAGGATATGTTTTTATTGATTTTAGAGAGAGAGCAAGGGGTGAGGGGAAAGAAAGAGAGAGAGAGAGAGAGAGAGAGAGAGAGAGAGAGAGAGAAACATCCATCAGTTGCCTCCTGTACACACCCTGATCGGTGATCGAACTCGAAACCTGGATATGTGCCCTGCCTGGGAATCAAATCCTTGACCTTTTGGTGTAGGGGACAATACTTCAACCCACTGAGCCACCCGGCCAGGGCATCAGATGACTGAGATTTTTACAGAAGTCTGGCAGCTCCTTAAAAATGATTGTGCTCTCCATCCAGATAAAAGCTCTGAGGCCAGGAAAGGAAGTACCAAAGGATTTAGGTACTTTTTGGAATGAGGAAAAGGAAAATATAACAAGAAAAGTTCGAATGAATATTTCTGGCCATTATATCTAGTGGGCTCTGTATCTCGTCATTTATGAAACCCTGATGATTCCGGGGGCTTCATGTCTCCAGGATTCATCTTCTTGGCCCTGCCAGACCATCAGCATCTCACCTGCATCAAGTCAATAGGATTGTAACTGGTCTCTCTGCCCCCTGCTCCCCAAACCTTCATAACAGAGGAATCTTCAAAGAAATCTTTCAAAATCACACATTTGATTGTGTCAGTCCTTTGCTAAAACCTTTGTGTGACTTCTAACCCTCCTGAGGGTGAAGTTCACATTCCCCATGTGCTGGGCCCTCATGCCTGGCCCGACGTCCCTTCCAGCCTTGTTTCTCACAGAGTCTCCCACCTGCACACCCTCTTCTTAGCCCTGTGAGCGTTCCTAACGGAGAGCTGTGTTTTGTTATTGTTCTTGCAGTGTCGGTGGGCAGTGCTGCTTTATCTGTAGTGTCTGAGTACTTAATCTAGAAAGGTTCTGATACATCACACCTTTGCCTAGGAGTTGTCTTGAAGTATTTCTGTTTCTGTGTGGGTCTTGCCTCTCTTTCTAAATGATTTCTGCTCAAGGATTGTGTTCTTCTGTGTGATTTGTGTTTGATTTCGCTACAGGAGGAGCTGGATTTGTCTTCTGCCTCCCAGATGTCTCCCCTCTCCCTCTATGGAGAAAGTGCCAATCGTCCTTGCTCAGCTGAGCCACCGAAAGAAGACAAGCCCCTCCCGGGTCCCAGGAGCAAACCCGGTATTATTCCCTCTCCATGGGCTGCCGTGCTCTCGCCTGAGCTCAGGTCCCACTCGCAGAGGAACCTCGGGAGGGAGCGTGTGGTTCGTCCTGAGGACCGAGGGGGAGAGGACAGGGAAGGAGCCCTCTTCTTGGTGGTCTCAGTCTCTAGAGGCAAAAGAGACTTTACAGTAGTCTCAGCCCCTCACCTCCGCTTAGGGCTGGATGTGAGGCCGTGGGGGGACATCTGTGACCTCGTTGCCTGCAGGTCATGGTCGGGGGTTTTACAAGCATCTCACAGTGCTGCACCCCTCCACCCAGAGCTGAGCTGTCCGAAAGAGGACCTCATTTCTCCATGGGATGAGCGAGCCCGGACCTCATGGACAGCATGGCGACTGCGCTTAATGACCCTGTCTTGCACGTTTGGAAGTTGCTAGGAGATAGACTTTAACAGTTCTCATTACAAGAAATGTAACTTGTCCCTGTATGTTGGCAGATGTTAACTAGACTTACTGTAATGATCACTTGGTGCTACAGATATGATATTGAATCATTATGTTGTACACTTGAAACAAATATATCGTTAAATGTCAATTATTCCTCAATATAAGGAAGGTAGTCCTCAGATTAAGGACTTTTCTTCAGTTCATTAGGGTATGGAGTAGCTATACTTAAACTTTAGTTAGGATTGTTACTCAGAGGTCATAAGCTCAAGATAACCGACTGTAGAGGTCAGAGTGTAGAGAAAGGTGTATAATAGAACTTGTTTTCTGAGATTTGCTTGTCTTCATATTGATTGTGGTTTGGTTTTTCTCCAGAAAATGGACTGACTCCAAAGAAAAAACTTCAGATGAATTCCAAACCTTCAATTCAGCCCAAGCCCTTATTGCTCCCAGCAACACCCAAGACTCAAACAAACGCCTGCGTTCCTGCGAAAGCCATCGTTATTCAGGCGCTGCCCACGCTGGTGCCAGTGGCCAAGCAGCCGGTTATCAGGATACACCCTGCACCCCCTGAAGGTACAGGCGCAGCTCGAGCTGCGTGGGACTAACTGGCAGCCACAAGGCTCACGCCACATGGTGTTTAATTCAGGTTGTCACCTCCCAGCACCTGCCGTGTGTTGGGAACTGGCCTTGGTTCTAGGATGCTGCCGATGACTAACATGTGGTTCCTGTCCCAGCAGGGGAGGCGGCTGTCTAGATCAGCATATCCCCTATGTCTTTTCTCACAGTTTTCATTAGGAAGGGCTTGTGGTTTATGGAACCACTCGTAATGAGGAACAAAATCTGCGAAACTTCTTTGGTGACATTTTATCCTTAGACTTGTGTGTCTGTGAACTTATGTTTTAATGCGAGGTCAGTGTTGAAACAACAGGGCGCGTTTCAGGTCTAGTGAGTGTGTTTTGGCAACAGAATCAGGCTCTTACTCTGAGGCGTGAGCTCGGCCTGGAGCAGCTTTGGGGGTCCTGACCTCTGTCTTCGGAGTTAAGACTGTGTTTCTACATTTCGCCCACCAGATGGCCACACATACTGGATTCTCTCAGAACCGAGCTGAAGTCAGTATTGAAAGACGTTTGAGGCTTTGGTACTGTTGAGCCTTAGGAATCATCGGCCCTTCCTGTCGCTCTGGCAGGTGACTCATCATCACCCTCACGAGTCCAGGACACCTATGCAGGGTCTTTCCTGGGTTTAGCTGTGGAATCCCAGGAGGACGAGGTGTCAGTGGGGTACAGGTTGTCAATAAAGACAATGTTGCATTTGCTTTTATGGCTGCATTTCCAGCGATTGCTTGTTAGCTCATTTCTTTGGACTCTGGTTTTAATGAGCGCGAGGTCAGAAATTTGATTCTCTGTTCTGTTCCTCGGTCGAAGACAGTATGACATCGATATAAAGCAGAGCTAGGTGAGAGGCTGGAGGGGCACAAGCAAACCGGAAGTGCCTGCCCTGTCGGTGCAGGGTCCAAACTGCTGCCTCTTCATGTGGGAAGTGGCATTCCTGTGGGATAGGCATTCTTGTGGTCTGAATGACGGTAAGCGTTTGTGAGCTCTGTGGCATAAAGTGCAAGATTTAGTGTATGTCCATATGTGGACCTTCATAGGGATACTGCAGTCTCCAAACCTTCTTCAGGGCCTCCAAAGGACTGTCTTCCCAAAACTAAGAATTTAAACTTGTGAAGAACCTCATTGTAGTCCCATAAGCAGTTAGAGCACATATAAAAAGTAAAAGTCTAACATGACCAGGGTTAGTGTATAAAGCAAGGGCTAGACTAAGGGCTTATTCTTCGTAGACCATTGGCTGTTTAAAGGTAGGAGGTCTCAGCAAGAAGACACTGTTCTTTTCCGAGCTGTGTTTCAGTGTCAGAAACTGGAGTCCTGCATCCCTAGAACTCCAGAGCTTTCCCAGGTTCTGCAGGTGGTGCTTGTTTTGGGGGCATGTGCTGATCGGGCCCTTGTCTGCTCTCCCAGTGGGTCCAGAGAGGCGTCATTGTCATGCACAGATTGCAGTGTCTGCCTCCCATTTATTCGGGAATGGGGAGGGAGGAAGAGGGGATACAGGAGAAGCATTTCACGGTGATGATGTGAGCTTCCGTGATCCACATCTTACCATTGGACACAGGAAGGAATTCTTGGAGGATCAAGTTGGGATTCTCCAGTCTGGCATGTAAGGCCCGTCCTGGTTTGGCCCCGTTTAATTTTCGCTTTTTGTATTATAGCAGCCTCCTCTTCTACCAACCCTCTTCTACCCAACCCATCTGGCCATTGTCCCTAAATTGTTTTTCCCAGTTTCTTGGCTCATACCATTCTCTCTGCCTTGAACAGCTTTTGCCACTTCCACACCTAAGTCCTCTGCGTCCATTAAGGTTGTGTGAGCTGTGCGGGTGAGAGGTGCCGGAGACCTGGATTTTCCTTGGACATGGCAAGAGGGGTGGAATCCCAGAGCTTGGGAATTGGACGATGTGGAAGGAAACAGGAACAGAGAGGACGGTGTCCCGTCATGGGCTTTCTCAGTAGAAGATTGTGCAGACCGTTGGGATGGGGGTAGAGGTGGGTACTTGCTCAGGCCACTCTGCTGGTGACAGGCAGAATCAGCCTGGAGCTTGGTGGCTGGCTCAGAGTCCGAGCCTTCATCAAGGCACTGTATTGCCTCTAGGAGGATGCTGAGCTGTGGCCACTGCGCTCAGGAGGTGGGAGTTAGCAAGTTTATGTAAACAATCAAATAACAGCAACTGTGAGAACTAGTGGATGATGGTACGTGCAGTGCCCTGTGGAAGCTCTTCTCTAGGTGGATGTTCATAAAAATAATGGCTGACGTGTAGGTTTCCAGTCTGTGCCAGACACTGATCTGAGTGCTTAAGTGTGTTCGCTTATTGACTCCTTCTATCCCAGTGATGGCGAACCTTTAGAGCTCGGCGTGTCAGCATTTTGAAAAACCCTAACTTAACTCTGGTGCCGTGTCACATATAGAAATTTTTTGATATTTGCAACCATAGTAAAACAAAGACTTATATTTTTGATATTTAAATATCAAAAATTTAAATGCCATTTAACAAAGAAAAATCAACCAAAAAAATGAGTTCGCGTGTCACTTCTGACACGCGTGTCATAGGTTCGCCATCACTGTTCTATCCCCTCTGAGGAGAGTGCTGTTGTCCTCCCCCCGTACAGCTGGAAAGTCAGGGCAGAGCGTTTACCCAGCGTCACATGGCGATGCTAGGCTTGTGGTGAATGTTTCCTACATCGTTTGAAATCTTTGCAGACAGTTGGAAAGGAAGAACTGCCACCGTGCAGTCACTCCTAGCGGCGTCCCATCGCGGGGACTGGCATGTAACACCTGAGGGGAGGTTGAGCTGCCAAAGGGGATGACCAGCCTGGGGTACGTCCCGCCTTAGGAACAGTGGTGACTAACTTCAGCTGCTAACTCTTTAGGGCCCCAAACAGCAGTGTGGGTCTGGTGAGCATGTCTGTGACTAGTGAGCTACCATGAGAGTTTTTAGTGTTTTCTCGAACCCACTGTATAGAAATGTAGTTGTTTCTCCCCATTCTGTCTTGATCCTTGACTTAGATGCTGGCTGATTTGAGGGTAGCTGGGCACTGTGGTTAAAGGGCCTGATGTGCACTGTGGAGAAAAGGAGGCAGTGAGGCTGGCAGGACTCGGAGCCATGTGGCCCCAGACCTGGAGGGGCTGCCTGGCCTGGCCCCTGGCTGCAGCTGTCAGCAAGGAGACGGCGATAGTTCCACAGTGACGTCCACGTGTGGACTGCTTTTCTGCATTCGTTTAGAGCAGTGGTTCTCAACCTTCCTACTGCCGCGACCCTTTAATACAGTTCCTCATGTTGTGGTGACCCCCAATTTCATTGTTACAAATTGAACGTAATTAAAGCATAGTGATTAATCACAAAAACAGTATGTAATTATATATGTGTTTTCCAATGGTCTTAGGCGACCCCTGTGAAAGGGTCGTTCAACCCCCAAAGGGGTCGCGACCCACAGGTTGAGAACCGCTGGTTTAGAGAAATAGGACATAGCCCTACACCTGTGAGTGAGCCGAGGGAGGGCCTGTCTGAAAGGACTCTGTTCTCCATGGACCACGCCCTGAGTTTTTGGGGTCTTTTCAGTGTAAGTTTTAAACCGAGAAGACTTAGCATGTGCTCCTGACATGCCTTGTGGAAGGACTGGTGAGAGTCCCTGGTCTCCCCTGTAGACCGGGACCCTGGGGCGGCCGGGGGAGCGAAGTTGAGGCGGCCACCGCGTGCTCAGCCTGCGCTAGGATGCAGGCGGCGCTTTGTCTTCTGAGTCTTCGTGCTGCTGGCTTCAGGTTTGTGGCTGCCCTTCCGGTTAATGAGCTGAGATCCATTTAAACTCACTACTAAGTTCTTAATAGTCTTTCCTCATCACGCATTTGCCAATCCAAAGAAATGGAAAGGACAGTCACGACCATGGGGACGTACTATGGGGGATGTGGTGTCTGTGATGGGAGGCGAGGGCGGCTGGGTTCCGGGCGGGGCCCGTGTGAGGCTGCCTTGTGATGAGCATGACTCTTCATCCTGCCAGATTGACTAATTTCTTAGGAAGTGTTATTAAAAGGCCTAACACTTGGTCATATGCTATTTTATTTATTAATTATTCTTATTTTCGTATTTGGCCTAATTGTATTTATGTCAGCTTATGAGTCATTTCCTTGTTTTATGTTTTTATTTCATAAAAGAAGTTATTCCAGGGGAGAATAAGATAAAAATCTTTAGTGATCATTTATGCTTAAGTAAATTGTACATATTACAAATGTTAGAAATTATTCTTAGATGTGTTTTACTAATTTATCTGGGACAAAATGCTATTAAATCCTGCTACTTTTAGCATGCTTTCTGAGGCCGTCTGAAACTATACTTTGTATAGAAGTGATTTTCTTTCTTTAAGCAAAGACAGATGTTCTTAACAACCAGGTGTTCTGAAGCATGGCGCAGATTTTTAGTTTTCCTCCTTGGAAACGTGGCGCTGACTTTTGCAGGCTCCTGTTACACTGTCTGACAGGGTAACGCTTCCCCTTAAAGGCAGTTAGACATGCACCTGACATTTTGGTTGCCGGTTGCTGCAGGGCCTTTATTTTGCTAGGTGGGCGCCAGCAGCTGCGGCTGTTAGGCGAGGCCTGAGCACCTGATAAATGGGCCAGCTCGGAAAGAAACGCCAGCAGCCAGGGAAGCTGTAGGAGCCATGTTAGGTGCTTCAAGTCCTCTTTAGGCTGTTGATACTGATTCTGCTCAGATTAGCATCGTTTTAACCATTTGTACACCATAAGCATCTATAGACACAAGTGGTGGACCTTTTTGAACTCAATTCAAAATATCGTGGCAGTTAACTAGTTAAGATAATGCTAACTGTGAAGATAAAGGAAAGATTTGTAGGGGAAAGGAAGTGATCTACAGACTGTTTCACTATCTATCTATCTATCTATTTATTTATCATAAGCCAGAGTTTATTTCTATTTAAAACAATGCGTACAGGCGTCCAAAGGCCCAAAGATATTTGGGTTTAATAGAAGTTATAGTCTAGTGCCTGCTGCCCATGCCTCCATTTCACAATCGATATTTCTGCGTCCCTGAGTGTTTCTAAGGTTTGATAATTCTAAGGTGAAAGGTCAATCTCCTGAGTTTTGGCAAGCTTCATAGAAAATGAACATTACAACAATAACAGCAAAAACAACTCCAGAAACAGCCATTATCATTGCAAGAGAAAAAGGTATATAACTCGATAAGAAAGCTTTCATAGAAATTCCCAGTAGGAGAATGCTTAATCTAATATTTAAAAATGAGATACATTTGTAAAAATCCTGGGGAAACCATCCCTGCCATATTCTCAGCAACCAGCTCCTCTGGTCGGAAGCTTGAGAAAACGGGATCATGATGAGTCTTATCTGGTATTAAATGCAGCTCTTGGACAATGGAAACCAGCAAACACCCTTCAAGATGAAAATCTATTTCACTTTTTAATTTTTTTTATTTTTAAAAATTTATCTTTATTGTTGAAAGTGTTACAGAAGTCCCCCGGTTCCCCCGGTTCCCCCATGGACCCCCTCCACCCCACCTCCATCTACAGACTATTTTAAATTACAGATTTATATTTCCTGTGCTTGTTGGCTAAGAATTCATCTCAAATGGTTTTAACATTTTTGATATTTGTAGCCCTGTGTTTATCCAAGCATTGAATTAATGAATCTCTGTTTATTATATATATAGTTTTTGGTGGTTGTATTTCTAAAACTCATACATTTGAAATATGGTCTGTGTGTGTCAGTATAAAAGTTTTTTTTTAAATTTATAATATGAAAAATCCTTTTAGCACTAATACATTTCAGGGGTTAGTACTTAGGGAAATCTGTGTATAACTTAGCAAACTTGATATGTATGTAGTTGAGGAAAAATACATGGGATTATACTGTTAATGGGAACCTGAAAGGGAAGGAATCTAGTTGGGCTCATTAAAACAGGACAAGGGAAGGCACACGTGTGTGCTGCTGCTGCCTGTGCTCGATGGGTGGTTTCACATTCCTCACTGTGAGCTCACCTATCACTCTACCTGCAGATCAGATCTCTGTGCTGAACAGCTCTTCCTGCCCTCTGACCCCTGTCTTTTCTCTCCACCAGGTCAGACCGTGGTGCTGTCTCAACCTGCCCTGGTACAGCTGCAGGCGTCCGGGGTCCTGCCCTCTCCCCAGCCCGTCCTGGCGGTCAGTGGGGGAGCCGCACCGCTCCCTAATCACGTGGTCAGTGTGGTACCAACCCCTGTGGCCAGTAGCCCAATAAATGGAAAACTTTCTGTGGCTAAACCTGCCCTGCAGAGTACTGTGAGAAGTGTGGGTTCAGATGTAAGTTTTGACACTTCGTGCTTTTTTAATGCCTGATTTAAAAACAAGGACAAAGCACATTTTTGTTTTTGTTTTTTAAAGTTTGTTTCAGTGTGTCAGTGTGCTGAAATTGCACCTCCAATCTTTAATGGAAAGTTGGGGCGGGGTTTGTGGTGTGAGAATCTACAGGAAGGTTTCATCAAGTCTGCAGAGTCTGATAAGAAGTGCGCGTGCCTTCCTCCTCTGCCTCCTGAGCCCTCTAGTATTGACACAGTCTCTGATAGTTCCTGATAGAAGTGCGTTTGGCAAATCAGAATCTAGTCTGTAGACTAGTTCTTTTTTTTTTTTTAATATATTTTTATTGATTTTTTACAGAGAGGAAGGGAGAGGGATAGAGAGTTAGAAACATCGATGAGAGAGAAACATCGACCAGCTGCCTCCTGCACACCTCCCACTGGGGATGTGCCCGCAACCAAGGTACATGCCCTTGACCGGAATCGAACCTGGGACCCTTCAGTCCGCAGGCCGACGCTCTATCCACTGAGCCAAACCGGTTTGGCTGTAGACTAGTTCTTAGTCGGTATATTTAGCATTGCTCTTGACTTATAGAAGGGTTTTTAGCTCTGCATATAAATGGCTTGCTACTCTGGGGATTCTGTCTCTTCATGATTACTTGATAGTTTCCCATCTTTACAAACCTTCAAATTTCCTAGCATGTTGTAGAAATTTTTTATGCTTTATAAATCACAGAAAGTGTCCTAAAATCCGCCACTCCCTAAAACCAGTTATAGCACTTACTGGCTAATTCTTGCCTTCTTTAAAAGTGAATAAAATACCTCATGTCATATATTAAACAGTAGTTGAACATCATGGCCAAAGCTTAATGAAAGTTAAAGTCAAATGATCAGGCTAACAGTAGATTCTCTAAAATTGTGATTGGGAAAGGAAATCCCATGTTTTCTCTCAAATAAAAGTGGGTATTGCCCTGGCAGGTGTGGCTCAGTTGGTTGAGCATCATCTTGTGCACCAAAAGGTTGCCAGTTTGATTCCCGGTCAGGGCACATGCCCGGGTTGCAGGATTGATTCCCTGTAGGGGATGTGCAGGAGACAGCCAATCGATGTTTCTCTCTCTCTCTCCCTCTCCCTTCCTCTCTCTAAAACTCAATAAACTATTTAAAAAAAGGTGGGTATCAATGGTTGTTAATATTGCTACTTCACCTTTCTTAGGAGTTGCAAAGGTATTTAAAATCCCGTGAATTTTGTAGGGTTGTTTATCAGACAATGTCAGTAGCCCATGTAGGTGTGAAATTGCTCCACTATTGCATAAACACCAGCAGTAACCTCAGTCAGAGTGTAGTGGAGATCGATCGAAAGGACGGGAGGTGGGGAGTGGAGGCCCTCCAGCAGTTCCCATCCTTTGTCGGGCACTGTGGCGAGCGTGCCAAGGCGCAGGGAGGAGCATGAGTGTCTAGAGCAGACGTAGGTGGAACGAACTAGACTTGACTGTTTTAGTTTATGTTGAGGACTGGGAGAGTGAGAGCACGGTGCTCTGGCACAGCAGGCAGCAGCATGAGTGTGCGCTTTAGGGGGAGATGGAAGGGGTAGGTGCGGGGAGGGGCACAGGCGGGAGGAGAGAAGACGGGCAAATGCGATAAGTGGATGCGTAATCTTTCTCTTTGAGTGTTTGGGAAAATTTCTACAATAAGTAAATAAACAATAACAAAAATAAAAATATGTCATGCATACATACATATATATATAAATACATATCTGTGAATATATATATATATATATATTTTATTTTTTTTAAATTAAGTCTTTATTGTTCAGATTATTACAGTTGTTCCTCTTTTCCCCCCATAGCTCCCCTCCACCCGGTTCCGACCCCCACCTCCGCCCTCACCCCCCCCTCACTGTCCTCATCCATAGGTGCACAATTTTTGTCCAGTCTCTTCCCGCATCCCCCACACCCCTTTCCCCCCCAAGAATAGTCAGTCCACTCCCTTTCTATGCCCCTGATTCTATTATAATCACCAGTTCATTCTGTTCATCAGATTATTTATTCACTTGATTTTTAGATTCACTTGTTGATAGATGTGTATTTGTTGTTCATAATTTGTATCTTTACCTTTTTCTTCTTCTTCCTCTTCTTAAAGGATACCTTTCAGCATTTCATATAATACTGGTTTGGTGGTGATGAACTCCTTTAGCTTTTCCTTATCTGTGAAGCTCTTTATCTGACTTTCACTTCTGAATGATAGCTTTGCTGGGTAAAGTAATCTTGGTTGTAGGTTCTTGGCATTCATCACTTTGAATATTTCTTGCCACTCCCTTCTGGCCTGCAAAGTTTCTGTTGAGAAATCAGCTGACAGTCGTATGGGTACTCCCTTGTAGGTAACTGACTGTCTTTCTCTTGCTGCTTTTAGGATTCTCTCTTTGTCTTTTGCTCTTGGCATTTTAATTATGATGTGTCTTGGTGTGGTCCTCTTTGGATTCCTTTTGTTTGGGGTTCTCTGCGCTTCCTGGACTTGTAAGTTTATTTCTTTCACCAGGTAGGGGAAGTTTTCTGTCATTATTTCTTCAAATAGGTTTTCAATATCTTGCTCTCTCTCTCTTCTTCTGGCACCCCTATAATTTGGATGTTGGTACACTTGAAGCTGTCCCAGAGGCTCCTTACACTATCTTCATATTTTGGGGTTCTTTTTTCATTTTGCTTTTCTGGTTGGGTGTTTTTTGCTTCTTCGTATTTCAAATCTTTGACTTGATTCTTGCGATCCTCTAGTCTGCTGTTGGAACTCTGCATAATATTCTTTATTTCAGTCAGTGTATGCTTAATTTCTAGTTGGTCCTTTTTCATAACCTCGAGGGTCTCACTAGATTTCTTGAGGGTCTCACTACATTTATCAGCGGTCTCACCAGTCTTTTTGAGGGTCTTACTAAATTTATCGGCGGTTTCTAGAAAGTTCTTGAAAAACCTTAAAAGTGTGGTTTTGAACTCTATATCCAGTCGTTTGCTTTCCTCCATTTCTGTCATTTGTGACCTGTTTCTTTGTCTCCGCATTTTTTATGCTTCCCTGTGTTGGTAGAGTGGCTTTGTGTGCTAGGTGTCCTATAGGGCCCAGTGGCTCAGCCTCCCCAATTACCTGAGGTGGACACTCTTGGTGCACCCCCTAGTGGGCTTTGTGCACAGTCTTGTTGTAGTTAAGCCTTGATTGTTGTAGGTATCACTGGGAGGAATTGACCTCCAGGCCAATTGGCTGTGAGAATTAGCTGTGTCTATGGTGGGAGAACTTCTGTGCTGAAGACACCCTTATGAGGCAAGACTTGCTTCAGTGGAGCTTTGGTGCTCACTGAGTCTGCCCCCTGAGTGTGTCCCTTATGGATCTGAGGAGTTGTAATTGGATGGTCCCACTCTGACCACTGGGTACACTGGCTCTTGGATCTAAGGAGGTGCTAATTTAGCCTCTGCCTGAGGCTACCCAGCAGGAGCTACGAGGAGATCTGCAGATTCCCCTTCCTTGTTTGGGGTTTGGAGGTGCCCAAATGAGGCCCAGCTGTGAAGCAATGCAAGCTGCTGTGGGGCCTTGGGCCTTCTCTTGGAAGTTCTGGGTCTGTCTGGCCCAGCTGCAGTTTGTTAGGTAATTTTCAGATTGCAAAGGGCCAGGCCTTTCATATGCAAAAGCCTCTGCCGCTGCTTGGGTGGGGCGGGGTCTCAGGGAATCAACAGGGCTGAGCAAACAGCTATGGCTGATCCTCAGCCCTGCCCTAAGGGGCCCCGCGTCTCAGTGTCCGGTAATCGCTGCAGGCACCTTTCAGAGAAAGCCGCCCTCGAGTTCCGAGTTCTGCCCACTACCAGACAGTCCAGTTTTTCCCCGTATGAGTCTGTGTCCCCAGAGACTCACCCGGGACTGGAGTTCAGAGCAGTCGGGGGCTTGTGACTCCCTCCCGATTCAAAAAGACAGCCGCGTCCTCAGTTGCCAGCCCTTGCCCTGTGCGCCTCCGTACCTCTGCACTTCCGCACCTCCTCTGAGTCTCAGTGTGCTTTTCTCTTTCCTTCTAGTTGTAGAATTTCCACTCAGCCAGCCTTCCTGTGGTTCTGGGTGATGTCCATTTTGTCTTTTAGTTGTATTTTTGAATTTGTTGTGGGAGGCAGCAATTTCCAGTGTTTACCTATGCCGCCATCTTGGTTTCTCTCCTGAATATATATATTTATATATATTTTTTGTTAATACTCACCTGAGAATATTTTTTCTATTGTTTTTTTCAGAGAGAGTGGAAGTGAGGGAGGGTAGGGGAGAGAGAGAGAGAGAAAAAAATATCGATGTGAGAGAGACACATCGACTGATTGCCTTCTACATGCACCCCAGTCAGGGGCTGGATGCTAACCCACAACTTAGGTATGTGCCCTTAACTGGGAATTGAACCCAAGACCCTTTGGTGTGTGGGCTGATGCTCTAACCATTGAGTACACCGGCCATGGCTGTTCCTTGTTACTTTAATTAAAAATTTGTACAACCAATGGAAAAAAAAAAGAATGTTCTTTTCACAAGAGACTGTGGAGGGTAAACATGATGAAAGATTAAAAAAAAAATGATCCCTTCAAATTTTCTTTCATTTATGAGTTTGAATGTTTCCCTGTAATACTTCCAAATGGAACCAGCAACAGAAAATGTTCACAGTTTTTTATTAATGTTAGGACTTTTAAAATATTTATTATGAAACATTTTAGACATGAAAAGGTAATGACTATTAGAACTTTAACCACAGATCAGCAATATGTCACAGTTGTTAGACACATGATGTAACCTTAGTGTGCCGTCATGGAATTGTAGCAGCCGATCAAGGGTAGGCTCGGGGGTGAGCCATGTGGAGAGGGTCTAGAAACGCTTCCCAGGAAGAGAGTGGTTAGGGTGGGCGTGACTCAGCGAACTGAGGGAGAGGCTGGCTTGTCCTGTGCCCAGTGGACCCCCTGGCGCAGGTGCGGGGCGGTGCCAGGGAGCTTCCCTCTGACCCCCAGAGGCTCTCACCCAGTCCGTGCACTTACTGTCTGAACTACGAGCATCGCAATGTGCTGCTGGCCTCTTTGTGGTTTTCAGCATTTCTGTGAATTGTCTGTTGGTCTGTTAGCCTGACATCCGTTACTAGTATAGGTTCTTGGTATGCAAGACGTGTCTCCCGCTTCTGTGCTGCGAGAGCGCTGTGAGCGTGCGCATAGGGCATGAGGTGTTGGGGACATGGCAGAGGAGAAAGTGCAGAACCAAGGACTGTCTTTTTAGCATATTGTTGGCTAGCATTCTTACTGCTTTCCAAATTTACAGCTGACAATATTGCAAGGAAAGCTTCAAGTACTGTGTTCGATGCAACAGACACAGACGATGAGAATGAATTTCCTAGTCAATCTGCATTGAGGATTTTGTGCTTATTTTTCCTTGGCCAGCACATCAGGGAGTGAGCCGAGCCTCTTCAGGGTGAGTTTGCTAGTAGAGGTTTTGACTTAATGTTTATTTCAAGTAAAGAAACATCAGTCTGGCCCATCAGCCGGCCAAGCCACTCAGGAACCCAGAGTGAACCCTGCCCTGGGCCACCTCGCCGCTGCCCGTGTCTGCTGATGGAGTCCTGCTCGGTCAGGAACACTTGGGTCAGTGTAAATTCCTGGTTTAAAAATGGCCAAAGAGAAAAATTTTCATTATGTGCTTCTTATGCTTTTAAACAATAAGGGTAGTGGAAGGAAGGAAGGAAGGAAGGAAGGAAGGAAGGAAGGAAGGAAGGAAGAAAGAAAGAAAAAGAAAGAAAGGTGAGTGTGTCAGTCTTCTGTGACTTTGTAATGCTGAAAGGTGAGTGTGTCAGTCTTTTGTGACTTTGTAATGCTGGCACGGCCCTTTTTCCTACCTTTGTTGTTCTCTTGTTGGCTGGCTTCATGCTGGGCCGCTGATGCCCGGGTGCGTGCCTGGCGCTCCATGCTCTGCAGGCCGCACCGACTGCGCATTGTCTCTGTGACCGCTGCCTGGTTCAAATTATCTCTCTCTCTTCTTGCCTTTTGCTGGTAAATGTGTTCTGTTTAAGTCTGGAAACCTCACCTAAGTTTTCAGGAAATATGGTTTGCTTTTGGCTCCGATTCTGATGGAAAAAGTGAGCACGTCCTTGTCTCAGAGTGGGAGCTCTCACGCACGCCCCGAGCCAGGGGCGGAGGTGCCTTCCCGGGAGAGCTGGATCCTCTGGCTTCAGACCCCGACCAAGGCTTGCAAACCAGCATCTGTTTCCACCTGCAGGGCACCTTCCAGCCCTCCACTGCCCACCACCCCTTCTCTCAGCGACTCCATGGCTTATTAGTACATTGTTTTGGTTATTGGGGCAAAAGGCCAGGAAAAAAGTGGTGAGATTATATTGTACATCTTCCATGGCGGGCCAGGGGGAGCAAGGCCCTTCCTGGGAATCAGGAGGTGGGGACAGTGGGAAGAAGGACCCAGTAGCCTCAGAGGGCCATGGATTAAGGGAACAGCCGCTCCGAGGGGGCCCAGGTCTTCCTCTCCGCCCATCTTCCTTGCCTTGCCTTGCGCCTCTTTCTAATTCTGTGCTCAGTAATCTGGACCCTTCCCATCCCAGTCCCCACCCTTGGGAGTCCATGTGCTGGGTCACCAGAGTCATCACAGGGACGAGGTACCCGCAGATGTCGGACATAGTGCAGAGGGGATGGCCCTGGCAGACCAGACCGGAGCTTGTATTTTTTTCCTGGAGTCAGTGTTGTACAGTGAAGTTCAAGATTTCAGCAGCCTCAGTGCTGTGAGTGTGGAGGGGCCGATGAGGCTCAGCTGGGTGTGGGCCTCTGTAGTGGGAGGGGTGCTGAGCTTGGGGAGCCTGCTGCTCTACAGGAAGCCAGAAGCAAGTCTCCTCATGTCCAGAGGGAGGCGTTACCTCATCTCTCAGCTTTTCTCGCTGGAAACTTGACCCTGAGAGATAGCCTGGGTAGAGGCCCAGGCCTGTGCCAGAGACCCACAGGAGTGTCTTTCAAGAAAAATATGAACCCTGGCCGGTTTGGCTCAGTGGGTAGAGCGTCAGCCTGTGGACCAAAGGGTCCCGGGTTCAATTCCGGTCAAGGGCACATTGCAGGCTCCTCCCCGGCCCGGGCCCTGGTTGGGGCAAATGCAGGAGGCAACCAATCAATGTGTTTCTCTCACACCAATGTTTGTCTCTGTCTTTCCCTATCTGTTCCACTCTCTCTAAAAATCAATGGGAAAATGTCCTCGGATGAGGATTAAAAGAAAAAGAAAAAAGAAAAATGTGAGTGTAAAATAACCTGTTTACAACGCAGAGCACTGCCAAAAGCTCCTAGAAGAATGGAGAGGCCCGTGTTCTGTTTCACAAAGAAAGCATGCCCTGTTGAGCCTCCAGCTGGAAGACCTGGACTAGGTCCCCTGCTGGGTCCAGGTGTGGGCCAGCTTAGAGCTCAGGAGATAAACAACCAATACTACTTTTTAGTAAGTGAAATTTTTAACAAAAAGCATGGAAATCATGGTATTTTTTAGGCTGTGAAGTAGAGGAACCCACCAGAACAAATGCAATAGCAAGGACCTGGAGATCTGAAAAGCCAGCAGAACTCAGTGAAAAGTTACTTCTGTGCTGACTGTTTTTGGCTTTCCTGCCATCAGGGACTCTTGCAAATAAAAGAGAAACATGCTTTGTTAAAATACTTGCAGTTTCACTTGAGGTGGAGGTTTGGGGCTTCTCAAAATTTTTCTTGAACAAGAATTTTGGCAAGAAGGTTATAGTAGCTTTGAAAAGGGAAGTGGGTGGGTGTTTTTTCTGACGTATTGCTTTAGGTTAGGTTGATGTTGTGGCCACTTTATTCTGTGTTTTTCAGTTTGGCATCCTGATAAGGTTAAAAAATAACTGTGTTTTTTTTGTTTTGTTTTTTAAAGACATGCTGATTTACACTGAATGGCCAGATTATTATGACCACCTGATATTTGTAGGCAAATTAGCTATAATTTCACGCTGAAGTTGCTAGAGGGCCAGATCATTATAAACGTCTGAATAGCACAACATACCTAAGTATCGTTGCTGATCAAGTTCATCCTATCATGTTGATGGCGTATCCCAATGGAGATGGCTTCTTCCAAGAAGACAGTGCGCCATGCCACGGTGCTCATATTGTGCTGGAGTGGTTTCAAGAACATGAGGGAGACTTTACCTTGCTCAGGTGGCCCCCACAATCACCAGATCTCCATCCAATTGAGCATGTGTGGGACGAAGTTAAAAGAGCCATCAGGCAGCTGGTTCCACAGCCATCAAATCTCACAGAACTGGTCAGTGCTATTCATCAGGCATGCTGTCAGATCCCTCGCATCACCTTTCAACATCTCGTGGAGTCAATGCCAAGAAGAATCGCCGCAGTATTGAAGGCAAAAGGTGGCCCAACGAAGAACTGATGGGGTGGTCATAAGAATCTGGCCACTCAGTGTATAGCTTAATACAGAAATACTTTCTCTGGTCTCTGATTTCTCTTCTGCAACCAGCACCTGCAGACTCATCTCGGGAGAATGAGTGCTTTCTGGCCACGCGCTCCCCCCGAGGCAGCCAGCACGCAGAGCACTAGTCTTACCTGCGGCGCAGAAATGGCGCCTGCTGCGCCATGGTCCTGAGTGCCTCCCTCAAGTGTGGCCCTCAGAGAGCTTCAGCGTCAGTTCACACGGGGTGGCCCATCCCTTTGCTTGCTGGGGGTTGTCTAGCGTAGAGGCTGCCACAGTGATTTAAGAGTTCTGCAGTCTTTCTTTATAAACATTCCTCCATTGAGTAACTGGCTACTTGTTTTGCTCCTGTAAAAATACATCGTAGGAGACGCCTGGAGTCGGAGCTGTGGTTCTCCGTGTTGCTGGCTGTTACCGTGACTCTGCAGGCCTTCTCCCTGGTCTTCCTCTGCGTGTGGAGGCCGGTCCCTGGGCTGCTGGATGGGGCCCTCATGGGTCTCAGTGTTCCCCTCGCCGTGTCCCTTTCCTCCTGTGACTGGCTGTCCTGCTCTGTGTTTGTTTGGGGTGAGTCCATAGCTTCCTATGTAGTTGTTTCTGTTGTTGTTTTAATAGCATCACTGGAATAAAATTCACATGCCATAGAGGTCACCTTTTCCAGTGTACAGTGGTTTTGGTGTATTTAGAGTAGTGCTACCTAGCATCACTGCTATCTATCCCAGAATGTTTTCAGGACCCTGAAAAGAAACTCCGTGCCCATTGGCAGTCACCCCTCACCCCCTTCTCCCCAGCCCGGCAATGACTGCTCCACTTTCTGTCTGTATGGATTTGCCTCTTCTGGACGTTTATGTCAGTGGATTTACACATGATGCAGCCTTTTGTGTGTGACTTCTGTCACTCACCGTAATATTTTCAAGGTCTATTCATATTGTAACATGTATCAGTACTTAATCCTTTTTCATGGCCAAATAGTATTCCATTGTTTGGCTGCACCACATTTTGGATTATCCATTCACCAGTTACTGGACATTTGGGCATTTTCACGTTTTGATTATTGTGAATAATGTTGCTTTGAACTTTCATGTACAGGTTTTGATAGTTTTTTTAAAACCATTTTTAATATAGAAAGAATACTTACAAGTCATTCAGAAAAATGCGAGTTAACCCAACAATCAGATGGACAAAGTGCTGTGTGCAAAAAGGCAATGGCAGTTTTCTCAACGAAAGGATCAGTGCTGTGTATTCTTGAAGGGCGTGCCCTCCGAAAGCTACTATTTTACAAAAATGTGGAAGAATATTAATTGTTAACAAAAGAGCACTTTGAGTTGGTTAAAGCTGGTTAAAGAGTGATGTGCAAGGATTAGCAGTGTGAGGGGAGTTTTCTGTGGCTCTCACCGTGGACTGTGCATTCTGAAGGAAAGTGTCTTTATTCTTTATGCCTTTCCAGCACTCCCCAGTGTTGTGCATGCTTCGGCCTCCCACACGCGTGTGTTTAGTCTGAGCATCATAATGCCTTGGAGGTACAGAACACTTCAAACACAACATATTCGGAAAGCTTGCTGAGAGGACAGTTGGAACTCTGTGTTTGGGATTCCTCTGGGTTTCATTTGTTTTCACTCTTCATCTTTTGTATTTATTGATAGTTTTGAGTACTGACTTGAAGATATTCAGCACTATTGTATCTTTTCCATGGGAAGAAGTGAATGCTTGGCCACAGGTGGTTTTCCTTGTGTAGTATGAGGCCTGTGCAGTGACAGCCTGTGAGACGAATGCTGCAGAGAACATGCAGGTGCTTTCATGTCATTGTTTACAGAAACCCCCAGTCCTTGGTGGAAGTTCTTTAAGTGGTGTCCATCTGTGAGCCTCCAAATTCCATAGATACTGAGCCGTCGGAGTAGGTTCCTTTGTCGGACTGGTACATAAACTCTTCCACCCGGGAACCTGCTGCTGTGTGTCCCGTCCAGGCGCTGTGCACAGGGTGCGCTGGGAAGAGCGCTAGTTGTGGATGCGCTGCCCGGAACGTCAGGAAGAGTAGCAGTGATGGAACAAAGTGGCTCTGTCCAGAGAGCAGCTGGACGTCGGGGAGCAGCCCCGTCCTGGCTGTGCCTGCTGCGCGTGCGTGCGCGTTCCTGAAGGGAGGGCAGTTACTTCACAGGGGAATGTCATAGGGGATGGTTAGGTAAGTCAGCATTCTTGTAACATTTTGTAAGAAGGGATAAAAATGGGAAAAACACCCTTTTCTGACCCCTATGTGGTGTTTCTTTTCTCTGGGTTCTGCTGGAAGGCTGTTGACTGTGTTTGGTGCCAGGTCCACTTGATTGGCTTGGTGTAGCTCTGTTTCTAGGAAATGTAGTGGGGTGGGAATTGGGTTGTTATTTTAAAAATCCGTATGAAATTATTTAATTTTATTGACTGTCTCATTAAGAGTTATTGAACACCCCACCATAGAATGTTTGTTTTTAAGGTCATTACATGTAGAAGTCAGTGGTTTAGTACTTACAGTCATCAACCTGTTATTTGGTGCTTCTTATGTACTTATTTTGT